GTTCATCCTTGCCCTCCATCACCGAGCCTCCAATGGGTGAACCTTCTGCCTGGGAGATCCATGTTGCCTGGATCTGTCTCTGACATGAAGGCGAGCAATGCCATGGGTGGGCCGGGCGCAAAGCTGTTGTCGGGCTGGCCACACTGAGTGGGTGCGGACAAGGATGAAATGAGATGCATGAAGAGCACTCCATTTTATGTAGATCCCAATTAGATCCCAATTGCATCTATGCAGAGCTAGATCCGAGATTGCACCAGATGGGAGAGATGCGACAAGCGGAGGCTTATGACTGTCAAAACCTCAGTGAGAAGCTGGGAAGCAGATATCGATATGAGAAGCAATCAGAGGCAGTAGATTTTGGACTCCACACTGATAGTGGACTTCAGATTCCCATTGTTATCACAGGAGAGATGCATGTAGTGATCCATGAGTTCACCAGTGTGTTCTGGGGGGCTTACAAGCCAATCGCACCTGCAACTAGTTGGAGGCTAGAAGATAGTCACAATTAGTTGTTGGTAGGTTGTGTGCTCCTTTACAGAAATCAACCATATACACGGTTTTAAACCGTACCTGTTATCTGCTCCGGCCCATATACACTGTTGTACTCGTTGTCAACAATCAAGTCGATCCATTTACGATTGTTGAAACTCCGTCGAGCCTTGTCGATACACCCTATAAATCGTTCGAACCCAACCAAATCTCATTCTGAGAGTCTAATACTTGACTCATCACCCCGGAACAAACAAAGACACTCCAATTTCGAGTAGTGCGATAGTGGATAGGTGGTAGTTGGTGGTTGTTAGTTGCTAGTTGTTGGTTTATACCTTCGACTTGTCATTCGCAGCTAGTACATTATTTGCACCGCTAGGCAAATCCCAGTCTTATCAGCGGCCTTTGTGGGCTTGGGTTTGGGGATGAAGAATTGTGATGCCGGCACCGGACCTATCAGCGGTCTGACAGACGTGAGGATGTGAGCCTGAGGGCTATTTAAGATTTGAAGCTCACATTGAATATAGGAGGCTAAGATACTCCCTATCCACCCTCGATGAACGTCACGTGTATTTTCTATATTGGGACTGCTCAAGTAAATAAATCTATAATATAATAGAGGGCTCGAATTGAGCCAAATCCTCTGACCAATTTCAAGATATTGGTCATATCTCTGTGTAAATTTAAGGGCAAGGGCAGGGAGCTCTCATGTGGCTCCGAGTTAGCCAATTCGTTGACGAATTGGTCTATATCACTCGAGTTTGATCTAATTGATGGGAGCAATCGTGGCTAACTAAACACCGAAACTCGTCAGCGCATGAAGGCCATGGAGGCCCAAGTTTTGGTATATAGTTGCTTTGTATGTATCTACATAATCTGATCGGAGGGATTTGCCCTGACTTCATTTGGTGGTCTGATATTTGTTGTTTTTCATTGGTGTGGCCCATACAGAGAATACACGTGATGTTTGTCGAGGGTGGACGGGGAGTACCTTATTCAACCCATGGATCCTGTGCGCTAACATCCCCACATTCACACCGGGGGCAAAGACCGAGGCACCTGACTGCCAGGTGCAACCTATGCATGTGGCCGGCACTTATCTTTGATCATCTGATCAAATTATGACTTCAAAGATAAGTGCTGGCCACATGCGTAGGTTGCACCTGGCAGTCAGGTGCCTCGGTCTTTGCCCCCGGTGTCACAGTCCCTTTGATTCCATTCTGCACTGCAAAAAAAATCCAAGAAGGGGCAGACAAGATCGAGGCCATGCGGGCCGCAGACGATGTGACTCCGCTTCTCCTCCTCGGACCCTTGGAGGACGTGCTCCCACTGGCGATTCGCCGAAAAGGCTGCCCCTTCTTTGGCATCCACCTCCAGGTCCCCAAAGTAATGTGAAAGGTGTCTGTTGGTGATAAGCCGGCAGAATGACCAGGCTTGAATTTGCTTTATTTGCATGTTTCTGCACTGTGTTACACGGCTGTTATACATCCAGATATGGGCTAGTGTGAGACCCGAGCAGCTAGCTAGGACACTAAGCATGTATTAGAGCAGCGGAGCTCGACTTGAATGATAATACTACTATGGGTTGGATTTCAAGAGAGTACCAAATCTTTAATTAAAGAATAACTCAACCATTCTGTGAAAGAATTGGGGTTTATCTGCATGTGTTCTGAACAAGGGTATCAACTACCATCCATCTAGACTATGGGAGACCCAAGGGAGCGCTGGTTACAAGTTGAATTGTGTCAACAGAGTTGTTGTGCCCGTTGCGAGCACTTATTGTTCATTTGTGACTTTGTTGGTCACTGTGACTGGGAGTCACACTCTTTCAGGCTATTCAGGACGTCTCCAGAGCCTCGGAGACATTCGGAATCAGTGACAGGAACTTGGGCAGTTGCCATCAGCATTTGCGGACTAGGATTATTCCGGGATGACTCGAGTTATCCCCGACTCAGCCGAATGAGGCAGTTGTCCGTGCCCTTGGGCCCTGGGCTTGCACGGGTGCAGATAGGGCTACAGAGGAGCCAATCATGGAGTAGATATTGCAGCAAGGCGGGCTGCGGGCTTGATTGATCAGTCCGAACCGGTGCAGTTTGGCTTGGCATTTGATTACTCAGTGCAAACCAAGCCAACCCTATGCCCTGGCCGCATGGTTGTGCACCAATTATACCAATTTACACTATTTTCGACACAAACTAACGTTCAACAGGTTCAGTTTGGCAGCTATTAGCTATATTTGTCTCAACTTTTCTTTAATTAATGTCTGTATTCTGTGTTTCCTTATTTAGACGGCCAGTTTGTATAAATACCCGCTCGTTTAGCAGTAGTAGGACACTGGACCCTGCCCCTCAGGTGGTCAGCTTAAGTGCTGCCGCTTCTGGGAACAGCAGTCTTAGTCTGTTGGGGTTGAATTGAATTGGTTGATTTGAATTGTTCTGTTCTAAGAATACTGCAATTTAAGTCGCTCGGCCTTGCTCGTATAGCTTGGTCTTATTCCAAATCATTGGCCGTTGGCTATCTAAATATATATCTGGCTTGAAACATATAAGAGACCTTTGTTGACTGAGATAACGGACTTAGGTGGGTATTAATAGCCCCACGCAGTCAGCAGTTCCAGATCGCAATTGTCAGTGATTGTATGGATTAGATTTTATGGAACTTCTGGCCTCTGGATATATGGATATATGGCTTCTGGACATCTGAATTATATGGAACTTTTGGATATATTGCTCTACGCACTGGCTTAAAACACCACCGCTCGGAGAGATATAAATAGACTTTGGCAAACCAATTCGATCGCACAGATCACCGGGAGCAATCCCAACCACCTGTTAAAACCCACCTATGTTTCAATTGTCCTTAGCGGCTCATCTGAGTGGCTAGAAGACCATTAAACGGACTTGGCAGAACATTAGTTAAAGCTTCGGCTTAGCTATTCTATTGTGTAGGAATTCAGATTCGCGAACAACGTTATCTAGCGTTGGAATCCCCGAACCCGCAGTCTGTCTGTAGTGGATATAGTGGTGTTAGTTGGTGTATTGTAGTGGTTTATATTTGAGCCATTATCACTGGTTGAAGATTTCAAGTTTTTGAGTAAAAAAATTGGTGAAAAATGTTTTGAGTTTTTCAAAAGTTTTATGCCAAAAAGGTAGGTAAAAAACTTGAATCATTTTCAAAAGTTTTTGAACTTGAGGTGAAATTTTCAAAATAAAATGAAAAACTGCTGAAAAACTTTTGATTTTTTCACCTACATTTTTGGTGAAAAACTTCTGTAAAATTCAAAACATTTTTCACCAATTTTTTCACTTAAAAATTTGAAATGTTCAACCAGTGTATAGTATATCAAGTTTCACTCGTGTCCATATAGTAAGCATTTCATTGGTGTCGCCGAGTGGGAGAGAGGAGGGGAGTGACTTGATGCTTTTCTTGAGGGCCGTAAGCAGCGCGGGGAAGTGTTTAACCAGTTTAGAATCATCAAGCATTGTGAGGCCGATGGGAATGCACAGCGGCAGCGGACAGAAAATTTGCAGCGGAGTCAGAATATGGAGATAGTCGGTGCTGAGTTTCACGGCAGATAGCTTGAAAGCCTTTCATGTGACAATCAAAATGAATACTGATGTCCAGCCGATGTCCTAAATAAAGCTGTGAAGGGGACCTGATAATGCTAGGATTACCATTAATTACGAGCCCCATAACTTAATATAATCGTAACTTATTGTAATGCATTCCATTGTAATATTAAGCTGTAAAATTACGGGCGGGCCATACTTAACTGTAATCTTACCATTACGATACATTATAATCAAATGTAATCATAATCTTATCCAGCCTTAGTCCGAGGATACTTGACATTTCCATACACCCTGAAAATACCCTCCGCGGTATCAGAGTGGTTGACTATTAGTGGTTATTTATAACTACCGTGCTCCGCGGAAGTCCTAATACGACTTTCTTAGAGTTGATATTGTTCAAACTATACGAGAGAGGGATCAATCTTACCTGTATACTTCAGGGTGACCTGAACTCAATTATTAGCACATTGTATTGGTTGTGTGTAGTGTGTTGTGTGTGTTGGTTGGTTTTAGTGTGATTTCTCCTCGGAGTTGTCTATCTATACCTAGCTACATTTGCAGCCTATACGTTGGTGCACCGTTTCAACGTACCTTTTCTGATCCTAGCTCCTCTCCAATCCGGATTCCACCCGTAATGGCTTGATAGTGTACCGGTAAATGTGCTCCATACCATTTCACCCCATTGTTTGACTTTACGGAGAGATTCGGAGTTCAATCCTCCATCAAGCCATTCTCTTGTGCTATCCACCTTTTTGGTTACCTGGAGTTCCTCTTCCGTCCTCCCAGACTGTATGTGAATACACAGCTCAATGGCATAGTTGTAACATGTCCTGTGCTGATGTTGTACAATCACTTTTAGCAGGATATCTGGAGTTCAATTCTCCATTGAGCCATTCTTCGGATCCAATCTATCTTTTTGCGGAGTTGTATGGAAATCATGGCTTGGTGGTGTAGCTGGTATCACTGCCTGCTTCAGTGCTTTTTCACAAGTGCCTTTCCAGAAAGTCCGGAGTTCAATTCTCTGTCGAGCCATTCCCTGTTCCACCCTATTTTTGTGTGGATCCTTGAACAGTCTGAAGTGGGCATGTCCATGGTCTGGTGGCGTAGCGGTAATGCACTCTGTTTGCGTAGCTGGTGGGAAATTGAATAATGGAGGGTCCAGAGTTTGAATCTCCACCAGGCCTTGTGTTTTTGTCCAGCCGAACAGTGTAAATGAAGTGACGCGTTGAACAGCTCGGTGGCATAATGGTAACACACTCTGTATTCCTATGTGGTTCACGGTATCGTTCACAGAAGGTTTGGAGTTTGATTCTCCACTGAGCCATTCAGGTCTGGGTATGGTTTTTTAACTTGGAGTTGCTTGGTTGTCATTTTCGGAGTTGGACTCTTGAATGACTTGGTGGCATAATGGTAACACTGATAAGCCGTGTAACAAACGCGGGTGTAATTTGCAGTTTGCACCTTTACATCCACTCAGCATGCATACTCCGTAGTTATAGAAGCTATCGTGAGCTCCGAACAAGTAAGCTTAGAGCCACAGAGCTTAGGTCTCCCTAGGGCACGGTCATATTGCGGTACCTCTACTATGGGGCTATAAATATAACCTGACCGAGGCTAGACTGACCAAAAGCACGCTAATCTCTAATCGAGATTAGATGTCTGCCAGGCTGATAAACAAGGAGATGGGAAGGAAATATAAATCCCCTTGCAGGCAACCTCAGTCCACCAATCCGGGCTAGATTCGAGGGTTGTTTACAGAAAACCTTGGCCGACCCCACCCCGGACATGTCACGTGATTAAATACTTGTACAAACAAAGGCGTTGCGGCACGTTTTTGAAGTACATTCTGGTCACTGCAGATAAGAATTGAGGGTACATAGCTACAAAAGAGTAAACAGAGAGTTCAATTAAGTATACAAATTCTTCTAAGTGTCACGATCTGAGAGAACTGGCCGGGTACGATAGAACATCGCACTCGCAGTTGCCCGTTCCCACGTCGTTGGCGCAGGGGAGCGCGTCGAATTCGCTCACTGTTCACGGCTCATGCAGCCTTCAGCAAGCCTAAAAAACCCAGCTCCTTCACGTTCCAGCGTATTCAGGAACCGGGAATCCTGAAATTGCCGCTGATACTCCAACCCATCGCAAAAGTCCCGGACTGTTTTGAGGTATGCGGTAAGCCGCTCATCGAAAGTCTCACACCCTGCATTGAATTCCGCCCCAGCACCGGTGTCCACGCCATCATCATCGCCCAAAGCAAATCCATCATCTTCCTCGGGATCAGAATCTTCACCCGAGCCGCGCAAACCATTTTGGGCTCTAGAATGGGAGGCGTCAACAGGTTCCGGCTCGTTTTTTATCACATGAGCTGGGCCACTGTGCGGAGGCAGTGGAATTAGAGAGGGGTGGGACCAGAAAGGTACAGTCCGATTGCGTTGCACCTCCAGGAAAAATACCGGGTTGACCGGATGGACGGCCTGAACAAGATGTTTACAGAGAAGGAATCGACTCTTGAAGAAAGAAGGACAAGTACAGACCCATCTATATGGGTCTGGCCGGTATTTATCGTTCAATGGGAGTGTAATGGGAGTGTTCTGACAACTCTTCCATTGTGCTTTGAATGTCTTGCGCCACGAACAAAGCTCTCGGAAGCGGCCAATCGGGGTAAAAATAAGGTTGAGTCGGCGGTAGTAATTCGGGGCAAGTTTTGTGACTAAAATCCACACGAGAAGGTCGAGCCGAGGTTTATGGAAGTGATGTAAGAAGTCGTGCTTGATGCGTCTCCAACTAGCAGAATCAAGGTGAGTAGGATCCAAATGTTGAGAGAAAATAACTTACTGGCTTTCCACAATCATTGTGGTCTTGAGTCGTGGGATCTCAGGGTGCTCTGCGCGTGCCCAGAGCTCCCAACGACCTCGCCGATACCAATTCTCCCATAAATAAGCCCAAACTTCCGGCAAGTCGTTCTCGAAGCAAAAGTCATACATCTGCTTGACAGCCCACTCCCTGATTCCCGCAGGGCTCGGATGGCAGTAACCAGGAATCAACGGGTGCGCGTTAAGGTGCCGTTCCATGAGGTCAATTATTGGCTGTCATAGCTCAGTTGAGCAGAAGGTGTGCCGCGCATTTGAGTCTTCTTCCTCGTCAACATCCATGGGGTCGGCAGGTGCAGCCGATTCCGTGACCTTCTGGGTATTCGTAATGTTCATGAGTACCGTGGCGCGTGGCTGAGTGGCGGGGATTTTAATTAGAACAACATTCAGCCGTGGTGCAGCCGAAGGCGCGGCTTGAGTTAAAGGTGTCACAAGACTCTCGAGAAATCCACCCTCGTGGTCGGCTGGGTTGGCATGCCCGGATGGCTTGAAGGCAACGTCAATGAACACGAACTCGGCATGCGCTCAATGCACATTGTAGGGGGTGGTGGAAAGTTTGTTCTGTTGTAGCCGGGTGCGTACTGCCTTTCTGAGATGCCACCAGCAGAGCTGAATCTTCGCATTCCAGACGTCTCTGGCCATGCCTATCTCGGCCATGTCTTTATCGACGTGAATGAACACGGGAATGACCCCGTATTTATCGCGCAGCTCACGGGCCCAGGCCGCCAATGCCCGTTTCCGTTTCCCAAGGTCATCGGCACCAGTAGTCGAGAGAAGACAATACGACAAGGGGAAGCCCACATTATCGTACTCGCCCAATACGGTGTATAGCTCCAGGTGTTTAGAGTTTGTTTCCATCTAACTCAATATTAAACTCTATTCAGTAGAATAAACTTTTCACGTACATGTTGCATTGAGTCCAATCTCGACGATTTTCCCACGAAGCGGGGTTATGATCTTCTTCATCGCGAAGCAGAGCTGCTCGACACCTTCCTCGGGGTGTACATCCAGAACATCAACATCATCGCCGAACTCTTCAAGTAGAATTTTTGCCGATGGTAATTGCATCTCGGCGCACTTCCACAAAATCTTACTCATTTCCGTCCATGCTGAATGTATCTGGGCTGCCGTTACGGATGGATATACGGCTTGGATCTTGCCAACCATCACCACAGGAGTACTCCATTCGAGCCCTTCACGAATCATACCTGCAGCGCCAGCAGGAAGGGAGACATCATAATAATGAACGTGAGAATCGCGGTGCCGCAATGACACCGTGATCTTCTTCTCGCCTGCGACATCTCCAGCTTGACTTTTGACCCATAGCATGCTACCACAGTCGAAATGGTGCATCCCAAGCGTGTCCCGGTGCTTTGCACCCTCTCGCTTGCTAGGGCAGGCCTTTCCCTTGCGCTTGCTGTCCTGACAGCAGTGAAGACGCATCTTATGGCCGGTAGGCTGTGCTCTGTGATCCTTGACTCTGTGCCGAAGAATATACAGAAATAACGCGTCAATAGCGCGTTTTAACGCGTTAATTTAAGGTACACACTTGAATCTATATCCAGAAACCTTCCAGACCTCATATACCACCATCTTTACGTGTTCCTTATCCGAAATGAGCGGATCATGCTGAACTTGGTATGTACCATTGAATTCTACATCTTTCTTCGTCCGAAATGTCTCCCGCAGGGAGGAGAACAAGGCTTGCTGGTTCTCAAATTTAACTGGAGCCATGAATATCAAGTTTCTGACGTGTCAATGTCAATAAGGCACGTACAGCGATACTTTGCGCATCCTCGTGTGCCGAAGATGAGCTGTCATCATCGGCATTCTCATCTGCCATGGATTTGGCGCATCGTGGGCACTTGTTTGCCTCTGCTGTATCCTCCTTCTCTCGTGCTCTCTTCCTGGCCTTTCTGGCACTGTCTTTATCCCAGCAATTTTGACAAGTCTTCTTTTGTTTTTCCCCTGGTGACGCAGGTGTAACTTTTCTTTTACACTCTCTTGTGGTACATTCCGGGAGGTTCACAGATTCTGGATCCATGACAGGTGAGGCTTTGGGAGACAGGTAACGGACAAGAGATTTGTTTATGTCACGCAGCAAAAAAAAACACGTGAACACACGCGCGCGCTCGGCAAAAAAAGCGAGTAAAAATGTGTGAAAAAGAGATTCGAACTGTGATGCCAGTATGTCAAGAAATATTTCAAATACCGGGATTTTCCGTTACACTAAGCGGCAATTAAGGCTAAATCCAGTCAGTTGAAGTAGAGGATACCCCATCCCTGCCATTTCACATGTTTCTAACGAAATTAGGTTTCGAAAATGTACACAACTGTATCATAGAACATAAAATGTGGGATACATCTTGATTTGCTTTCCAAAACCGTCGAAAAGCGTTGGCCTTTCCCAAAGGGGAAATGCACGTGACGTGTCCGGGGTGGGGTCGAGCTGCGCTGGCTGTTGTTTACCCATATTTGACGACCTGGATCAGCGTGTTGGATCACATGATAGGCTAGCGGGCCTGCCCGAAAGAGCAGAGCAGTCGGCAATGAGCGGTGGCAGTGTAAAATCATGATGGCTGTTGAACTGGAGAAAGGATATGAAATATCTCGACAACCACGGAGGCTACAGACACGATCCTGGTGTCTACAAGGAGCTACGAAACAGACGATGACTACTGATGCCCGGGATGGGTAATTGACGAAGAACTACGAAGTGTACAGGTCTCTGACTCGGATATTCAAATGACCTCAAACACGGAGTCGTATGACTCGAGTCTGACTCAAGACTGACTCAGCGGTTGTGGAACAGCCAATCGGGATAGAGGGAATGGCTAATATCAGCACTGATATCAGTAATTCCGTGATGTAAGAGTTTTTCAGAGTAGTATAAAGGGAGGGCCAGAAAGCTGGGATCAAGAGTGAATTGTACTGGAGCTCTGTGGACGCGAGTTTCAGTGCAGTTATAGTTGCTCAGAGTCCCAGAATTACATTTGTACTCTTGCATTCTACATAAATACCATTGGATTGGATTGGATTTAAAGTTGTGATTAAGACACTGTGAACGGCGTGATTGAGACACTGAACTGGACACTGTATTCAAATTGGGACTGTAAAAGAACCTAGAAACTGTGTTTGCACTCGTGTTTGACTTGTACTTGAACCGTGGAGTGATCCAAGACCCAACCAACCTAATCTCGATTAGGCTAACTTCGTCTTAATTGACATAAACCTGCCGGTTCTCCGAGCCGTAACCTAAAACATCGTTCATATAACTGTTATCGAGCAATTCCATTGACCTAAGCACACCCAACGCCTCACAGAAGCCTTGAAATCGCTCAAACGAACTATCCCACTCGTCTTCGAGTCTGAGTTGTCCAGTGACCTAATACTTGGTCTATTTCCCTGAACAATCACACACCTTGTCCACTCATAAAGAGGAGGAGTAGTTGTTGGATTTGTGATATATTGGTTGTTTTGTGTTAGATTCATTCTTGCACTTTGCGCCAGTCTAGCATTTAGATCTTCCACCCACACCTAGAGTCCGGCAAAGCATTTCAACGTGCTTAGTGTCCTTATGCAGCATTTGTATATCGTTTGACGGAAAGTTCGGAGTTTGATTCTCCGTCAAGCCACTGTGTCTAAAATATTTCTTTTGTTGTCCTCAAGGCACGGCTCGGTGGCGTAGCGGTAACACATTCTGAATTCCTATATAGGTGCTTTGTTCTCAGAGGGTACAGAGTTCAATTCTCCATCGAGCCATGGTCTGGATATGGTGGCTTTTTAATCTTATTGTCAAATGTCAAGCTGTAAGTTCACCAGCTACATCAGTTCTAGGAGTGTCGGTGTTTTGAGGTCATGTCAGGAGCTATCATGTGATGGCTCACAGTGCACCCCTGAACCTGATTCTCAGCCCATCTCCCAATGGTCACCTACACCTGTCAAGGGGATGCCCATGCCCACTTTAGTTTGCCATAACAGCAGTAAGTTTTGTGCATCCACCTGCATTGTCCCAGGGCCGCCAAAACTACACCAGGTAGTCCAGGATGAGGGGATGTATGTATGCATCATATCCAACCAACTTTACATTGAGTATTTGAATGAAGAATCCCTACTACTGGAACTCTGCAAATTAAGTCAAGTAAGAAACCCTATGGACCATCATGATGAAACCAACAAAACTTTCCCAACTTCACTGTCCATTGGGAAGTCAAAAACCTGATGGAATTGATTCAATGGGAAGACTCGACTTACTGAAAATCATTCTTGACTTTCTCTCACTGATTCCCTGCACCTTCCAGTTGTTCAATCGTTGCGGCCAATTGATGTGTGGTGCTGATGGTGTCCGGATGACCCTCACCTAAGACCTGCCGGCATGCATTTAAGGCCTGCTCTTGAAGCTTGCATGCCTCTGTGAGGCGACCCATTTTGAAAAATGTTAGCCCCAAATTTGCCAGACTGCGTAGAGTAACTGGATGATCTTCGCCAAGGAGTTCATTTTGCTTGCTCAACACCATGTGCTGCAGTTTGGCAGCCTGCTGAAACTGTCCCATCTGCCAGTAGCTGGCTGCCAGGTTTCCCATGGCTCTCAGAGTGTCTGGATGATTCTCTCCAAGGAGTTCTCTGCGCTTGTTCAAGACCACTTTCCCCAGTTCTTCAGCCTCATGAACCTGTCCCATCTGCAAGTACCTGCCTGCCAGGTTCCCCATGGTCCACAGAGTGTCTGGATGATCCTCACCCAGGAGTTCTTTGCGCTTGCTTAAGACCACTTTCTCCAGTTCTGCAGCCTGGTGGAACTGTCCCATCTGTGAGTAGCTGACTGCCAGGTTTCCCATAGTATCCAGAGTATCTGGATGATCCTTGCCGAGGAGTTCCGTGCGCTTGCTCAAGACCACTTTCTCCAGTTCTACTGCCTCATGAACCTGTCCCATGTCTGAGTACCTGATTGCCATGTTCCCCATGGACCTCAGAGTGTCTGGATGATCCTCACCAAGGAGCTCTCTGCGCTTGCTCAAGACCACTTTCTCCAGTTCAGCAGCCTGGTCGAACTGTCCCATCTGTGCATGTCTGTTTGCCAGGTTTCCCATGGTCTGCAGAGTGTCTGGATGATCCTCGCTGAGGAGTTCCCTGCGCTTGTTCAAGACCACTTTCTCCAGTTCTGCAGCCTTGTGAAACTGTCCCATCTGTGAGTACCTGACTGCCAGGTTTCCAATGGCGGTCAGAGTGGCTGGATGATCTTCACCAAGGAGTTCCCTGCGCTTGTTCAAGACCACTTTCTCCAGTTCTGCAGCCTTGGGAAACTGTCCCATCTTTGAGTAGCTGAGTGCCAGGTGTCCCATGGCACTCAGAGTGTCTGGATGATCTTCACCAAGGAGTTCCCTGCGCTTGTTCAAAACCACTTTCTCCAGTTCTGCAGCCTTGTGAAACTGTCCCATCTTTGAGTAGCTGAGTGCCAGGTTTCCCATGGCAGTTAGAGTGTCTGGATGCTCTTCACCAAGGAGTGCTGTGCGCTTGCTCAAGACCACTTTCTCTAGCTTTGCAGCCTCATGAAACTGTCCCATGTTGGAGTAGCTGAGTGCCAGGTTTCCCATGGCCCTCAGAGTTTCTGGATGCTCCTCACCAAGGAGTTCCATATGCTTGTTCAAGACCAATTCTGCAAGTTCCCTCCCTTTGTTAATTGCCCCACTGTTGGCATACATGACGGCTAGAGTCCCTTGAATGTCGAGAGTTTGGTCTTCGTCCAGCTGCGACAATAGGGTTTGCAGCATGGATTCCCCCAAGCGTACCCCATCACTCCACTTTCCTTCCTTGTGATATACCCACAGACATTGTGATGCAAATGAGGCATCAAGGATGTTTGGCTGTCGGCTCAAATCCAGGCCTGTCCTGAACAAAAGGGCATCAAGATGGGGGAAAAGTTGGTGTGAGAATCGAAAATCATCATCCCTTGAGGACAATGCCATCCCTATCAGTTTGGGCATGCACAGCTCAGTGGGAGCATCCACGTTCACTATGGCCCTGCACCATTCATGCACCAATGGATGAATTGAGAAGGTAATGTCTCCCGAGGCAGCCTGAAAGTCGATCAACGAGAAGCGTCCAAGCTCGTCAGTCAGTGCTATAAACTTCAGTGGATCCCACTTGGAACCTGGACTTTTGTGGAATTTGGCCAGGAAGTACAATGGCTCATGTAGGTCAACCTCAGTGGGCCCTCCAGGCATGAGCTTGTATGATCCAGCCTGTTGAAATATATCTTCGGTTATCCCATCATGGTGGATGAAAGAGCACAGTTGAAGCAGGGCCCTTGCCTGGCTGGAAAGGCTGTCGAAACTGATCTGCCATGTGGCATACACCGACCACCCATACTCAGATTGTGGGGGCATTTGATGCAGTAACTGCATTCGACTGGCTGTGTGTTCATACAAGTCCAGATACTTTGGAAGAGCACGGGATGAAGAGATAAATGCCCCAGCCTGTGCCACAGCCAAGGGAAGGCAATGGAGTTTCTTTGGAATCCTTCAACCAATGTCCAAGATTGTGGAGATGCAACATACCTGAACAATCTGCTTACCAACTTCTCTATTAGCCACCTCCATAATATCATATTGAGCAGCAGATAAGAGAAGGTTGATTGCTTCCTCTAGTGCCATCTGCTCAACTTTGTACGTGGCCTGTGCAAGCTGACGGAGGTCAGGATTTTGGGATGTAATAAGGATGTTTCCATGAGAGCCAGAAGGAAAATACTGCACAAGGTTGAGGTTTATGTCATTTGCATTGTTGAATACAATCAGCCATTCTGTGTGTTGGTTTGACAGCCAAAGCAAACTATCTTGGAAAGTTTTCCCCACTTTCTTGGCAAGGGCAAGTGTTGCAAGATCATTTTCGATTGTTTGCTGAGAGCTGCTATCGACAAAATACACATCTTGGAATCTGGGTTGGTGTCTCAGATTGAGTCAGATTGGACATTGAATACAGCGCACCGTGATTCCGACATACTGGTAGACTGCTCAACAAATTTGAAGGCAATTTGGCTTTTCCCTGAGCCTCCAAGCCCATGCAACAGGAAAATATGCCGTCGACCGATGCTTGTGTTGAAATATTCTGACATCTTCTGAAGAATATCCTCTCTTCCAGTGAAACGGACACTTGGGGCTGGACAAACTTTCAGATAGGTGGGGGAGTCAGACATTGGAACCACAGGATCTAACAGCAGTCTCAGCACAGGAGTAAAGTTGAGCCTAAGAATCTGACTTACTCAGGATCACTTGCACAGCACCTGTGAGCTTAGATTTCGCATCTTCTGTACCCAGATAAACACGAGTATGGGCGGAAACTTCACCAGATCTTCCCCAGTGTTGTAGCTTGAAGCCCTGGAGACCCTGTAGAACATTGAGGCGAAAATAGGTATTGGGACTGCTACGAAATCTGCGTGCATTGTCCTCATGTATTCTTTCGCAGTCAGTTGCAATGCTTTTCAAGGTCTTGGCAAAGGCAGTCAAACTTGGGGATCTCAGAATCTGGATGGTGTCAGGATGGCCACTGCCAATGCTGACCACAAGGATGATGGGCTGTGAGGGGTACATTTGTTGGGCTTCTGCCACAACCAGGGAGGTTGGCTTGTTGTTCCAAACACCTCCGCCAATGTACTTTGTCCTCACCCCTCCTCTGCCGATTTCCATTGGTTTGAAAAGTCTGGGCATGGCAGAGGTGGCCCTGGCGGCCTCCCATATCTTGCAGTCATGGGCCGGCTCCTCTGGGGTATTGTATGAGCGAAAAAGCACAGGAATACCAGCGTTCAGATTGCTTTCATGCATGGCACACACAAAGCTGAGGGTTTCATCCAGATAAGTGGGTTTCTTTCGATGACAGATAGTTACACTCACGTCTTGCAGGCATGTGGACTGACATCTCTCATCTTTTCTTCTTGGAATATCTGCCTCAGTGCGGCTTCCAGCTGCCTGGCTTTGAACTGCTCGGCAGATCCCCTTTTGGGCTTAGGTCGAAGCTTCCCATAGGCCAAAATAGAAGCAGAGACCGACATGCGGAGGCGCCCGAGCATCAATGCAATAATCCTGTAAGTCACATCAGTTTACAGCATTTTCCAGGAAATAACACTCCCCCTCCTATGCCACTACCTCCGATAACCTCAAAATAGTCACATGGAGTAGGAGTCGTGTCGGAGCTGAGGGTAGCCTGCACTTGATGCATCATTTGCTCCAGTATGAGTAACTCAGACAGTGCTCCCGCTCCGCCACCGTCTGATCAATCATGTGGGTCAATACAAACTCGAGCCCGAAGGGGCAAGGACATTACCGAGGGACAAGACCCTCACCCCTTTATGAGGGGCATCTGTGTTCGACATTGATGTGGATCTGAGTCTTGTTGTTCTGATAGTGCACACAGTCAGTGGATGGGAGATGAGGTCGGAGAAGAGCTGTGGGGGAAGTGAGAGGGACGTAGCCAATGCTTGACTATTTATGTCTTCACGAGGCTGTGCCATCTCGGTCACTCAATGACATGCGGTTCCTCATGTCCTGCGCCACAGGGCTTGACACCTGTCCCTGAATATTCGGCATGCATTTCGCGATTTGATTGGCGGTTGGCAGTTCTCTGGTGCTGTCCATCTCTGGACTTGATGAATGATCAAGCTGTTAGCGCAAGGTGTCAAACATGTCCGAGGCGCGTTTAAGAAGCACCACGTTTTGATAATGGTACGTACTATCGATTATCTGGATTCTACATCTTGACTTGATTAATTTTCA